AGCGCGCGGCGAGTTCGAGCGCAGCGCGGGCGGCCGCTTGCGCGGGGTGCGCGTGGGGCGGGGCGCCGTTCGCGAGCGGGTTGATGAACGGGTCGTCCTCCCCCGCGGCGGCGGGGCACGCGACGCGCCACAGCCTCCCGAGCCGCTCCCGCATCGCCGGGTCCAGGCCGTCTGAGCCCACCTCGTCGCTCCCCAGGAAGGACGGGTGTACCAGGACGAGGCCGCGGACGCTGGCGCCCGCCCGCATGGCCATGTGGTGCGCGATGTTGGCCCCGGCGCTGTCGCCGCTGAGGTAGAGGCGGGATTGGTCGGCGTGGCGGGCGAGCCACGGGTCCGGCTCGGCGGCAGCGCCGGCGACGTGGGAAAGGACCCAGGCGAGCGCGTCCCACGAGTCCGCGTACGCGGCGGGGACGGGGTGCTCGGGCGCGAGGCGGTAGTCGACAAAGAAGACGAGTGCGTTGGCCGCGCGCGCGGCGAAGACGTTGAGGTAGGCGTGGTAGGTGGAGTCGAAGGCGGAGAAGACGTAGAACCCGCCGCCGTGGTAGTAGACGAGGAGCTCGAGGCGGGGTGGCGAGCGCGGGGCGGGGCACGGCCGCACGGGCAGGGCATGTCCGTTTGGGGTAAAATTGCCTACTGCGGGTTGGGCGCAGATGCTTTCCTTCGACCGTCCGTCCTCGGACGTCCACCAAATCGCACCCCAAACAAACAGAATCGGACGTCTGTTTGAGGTCGTGCGGTAAAGTTGACCTTAACCGATCGAATCGAGCTGAGTGCCATTGCAACGAGAGCGGGTAGAGGGACGACTTTTGATAATCAAGAGTGACGATCGATCTGATTTTGGATGCTTTCTTTTTTCTGCCAGGGAGAAAGGTGTGCTGCTGGTATCTAAGCTCGGACAGCGATCTGAATTCGTCCACGTTGATATTCACAATTCAAGCAGGCTGAAAGAGGTGTTGGAGGGTGAGTATTTCTTCTAGTTTTTTTTAGACAGGGTTATTTCTTCTAGTTTTCTTTTACACAATCAAAGTCGCTCACATATACGAGCATATATTCATCGCATGCACACACAATACCCTTATGAGTAACTTGAAGAGACTGAGCCGGCACATCATCTTGAGATTGATAAAGTCGCACAGACGTCTTCATAGTCGACGGGAACGTCTCCTTTTAATGAACACACATTGCCAGAAGGCCTAAAATAAATTCAGAAAAATAGGAGCACCAATATCAAGTTTAAGACTTGAACTCTAGTGTGTTGGATTACCACTATCCTCCTAACTATTTAATTATAGGTTGGTTCACGGACTGCCATCTTGACACAAAGGGTGTCTTGAAAGATGCACGTGACCAAGACGCATTATAATAAGCCAGAGTTACATTTAAAAATAGAACAAGGCTATCACGTGTCTAAAAACACAATTGAAGGATGCATTTAATCTTGTATACATGGAAAAGGAAGCTGAAAAGTTGAAGAGAGTTGCGGTGGCTACATGTATGCGGGCTATTATTGAGACTATCCATAGTGAAGAATAACTTCGAGAGTAATATACAGATGTGAACTAGGAGCACTCGGCGACGACGCTCATTCAAATCTCAGCCGCTGCATTGCAGTCTAGGAATACATGCATAATTGATCAAAATAAATTGCTGTTGTTGAAGACCCCGCTCCAGCGTAGATTGGCACAGTGCATACCTGTTTGGAGACAATAAACTAGGAGCAAAAGTCATACTATAAGTACAGCACACTGTTGGGCATTTATTAGACCGGAAAGACTATTGAGCCACCTATACTTTAGGCCATCTTCATCGCGCGACCTCATTTTGTTCGGATGCATCCGTTTAAGGTAGAACGGACCAATAGCGCGGCCCAACGCGCGGCTCCAAACAGACAAATGTCCGGATTCCGGTCGTGTTCGACCCATCTCCGGCCCAAACTTGCGTCGAGTTTGGGGTGAAACGGACATAGCGCGGACGGGCTCGCCGCATGCCCTTGTCCCCCAGTGGCCCGCATGTCGAAAACACAAGTAGTCCCATTCGATTCCAACGCCTCCACCCCCTCCCCCGCCCCGCCCCACCCCGACGACGGCGCCGCCGCTATTCTCCGGCCGCCTTCTTCACGCAACCCCCGACCGTCCATAGCCAACCACGTCTCGACATGGCCGCCACCACGCCCGTGCTTTCGTCGTAGTTTAGGTCGTCGATCGGAGGAAGTTTGGCCAACGCCGTCGTAGCCGGCGGCAGAGGGGATACGACCGCAGGCGACGTACCACGGCAGCCACAACAGCTTCCGGCGAGTGCTCCAGAGCGGTCAGTAGCCGGCCGCCAACCACACCTGCATCGAGGTGATCATCGCGGCCACTTTGCCACCATGACCGCAAGGTGTTCGACACTTTGCCCACAAAGGTATGGACAATGGTGATGAGTTTTTCTTCCACCACTTCATTTGTTCATCGGACGATTCGTCGCCGGATGATGAAGATCTTGTGGTGGCTGCACTGGTGGTTCACGACCAAATTCAACGGCAGCTTCCTCGGTACAGGGGGTCAGTCCCTGGCCGTACTCCCAACCTGAACCGCAACAGGGAAAGAGGTCACGCCCTACTCTATGCCGATTACTTTGCGAACACCCCGCTCTTCAAGCCGGATAAATTTCGTCGCCGTTTTCGTATGGCAAGGCATGTGTTCAATCGTATCCGAGAGGGAGTGGTTGCTCATGACCCATACTTCGAGTGCAAGACGGATGCCCTTGGCAAGGTTGAATTCTCCTCTTACCAGAAATGCACTGCGACCATCGTGAGCTGCGTGATTGGCACACTCATTTGGATCTTCAAAATAACTTGGTTGAGCACGTGTGGGTTCACATTGGCAACCAATAGATGTATTGGTCCATTTTATGTTCATTCAAGACAATTTCGATTTGGTTGTAAAACTATTTTTATTAGAGACAACTTTGATTGGGTTGTAAAACTATTTTAATTTTCAAACAATTAATATTTAAACATGCAAACTTGTTTTGATATGAAAATATGGGCATTTAGGCCTTGGCGAACGGGATGGGGCAAACGGATGCGGCCGCGCGCTGGGCCCACGACCACCGCATCTCAGGACAGGCCCGGACACGACCCCGTCGCCCTACCCAAACGGACAAAATCCGGGCAAAACGGACGTCCGTTTGGGGTCGCACGGTGGAGTTGACCTTATTCTCATATTGTTAATTACACAAAACTGTACTCTCCATTGTCATTGCCAGATCCAACGCAAAGCTCGACCCATTGGTTCTCTTCGTCCGGCCATTGTTCCTCTTCCTCTCATTGACTAGTGCCGAAAAAATTAATAGGAGGTTATATTATGTGCACAAAAACAAAATAGTCATTTTTTGGCTCTAATTCTGAGTGCGGCATTTCGGTGCTCAGGCTCGTACGCACCCGGTCAGAAAAAAATCACAACAAGTTTAAAAAAAATAAAAAAAATCCATTTGTTTATATTGTAGAAAATTCATTGAGTGGGGTCTGCTCCATTTTTCAGATCATTTGGACATCTGAGTAGTTCACAGCCAAAAAAATTCGGGTCTGAACAGTCAACTTTTTTACAGACCCCGAATTGGTTTTTTTGTCGAGAGCTGCACAGATGCCTAAATGATTTGAAAATTAGAACGAACCTCGCGCAACAAATTATTTACCATGCAAAAAAATGGATTTTTTTTTGAATTTTCTAGTATTTATTTTGATTTGTTTTCTTCAGCATGGGCGCAGATGAGCCTGAGCTCATAGGTGGATTATCGTATAATTCCTCGTAAACCGTTTTACTCATAATAGCATCGCGTGCAAGAAGAGGAAGATGAACTTGGCTTGAGTTTCTAAATGAAGCGAGATTTATCTCATGACTTGTAAGTTTGTCGCTCGAATTAGCTACCGGTGTGTTCAATAGAATGAAAAAAAATAGAACAATGGTAACTTTCTCATCTACGGTCTTTACCCCAGAAAGTTTTTTTGCTTTTACTTTTGTGTTCAAACTATTACTACTCGCAAAAAAAATATTACTAGCACTTTGGCATTTTCTGGGCGGATCTAATTGGAACCAGATCACTCGCAGCCGGTAGAACGCGTAGCCATGCATGCTTCCGCCTAGTGGCCTAGACGCAATACGATCGCTGTGTCGATCCTATCCGGATAGGTTGGACAAGAAAGTCTCTGCCCGGTTGGACAACAATCCAAGCCCCTTATTAAGTGTCGAACTATTTATATTATATTACATGCCCGAACTTGCGATAACAATCAAAATTTTAGAGTGTACTTCCTCCATTTGCGAATAAGTGTATTTTTAGTTTTGTTTTAAATCAGAAATTTATAATTTTGACTAACTTTATAAGAAAAAGTAGCAGCATTTGTGGCACTAAATTAGTACCGCTAGATCCATTTTGAAATTTACTTTCGTAATATACCAATTTGATGTTGTATATGTTATCTATAAAGTTGGTTAAAATTTTAAAATTTTGACTTAGAACAAAAGGTAGAAGTATACTTATTCGCGGATGGAGGAAGTAAGTGGTAAAAAAAGAGCACCATTTTCTATTCACGTGTTGAAATGTTAAATGGCATAAATGAAACTTCTACCGGCGGTGTTGGAACAGTGTACCGGACAGAAACTTTGCCTTATGGGAACAGAACGTGCGTACTTTACATCAGATATGCTGAACATGGGAAAGATAAATACTACTCCCTTCATTCTTTCATATAAGGTGTATTATTTTTTACATGATAATCAAGACACATAATTATAGACAAGTTAGAACAAAATTACCCTTGGTAAATTTGTTGGTTAGTGGCAAGTAAATCAATTACTTCTAGAAATTAAGAGATACATGCAATCGATAGAGAGATACTTTCCTTCTTTTGATACAAATAGAGATACAGATAATCGGAAGAGAGATACTTTTCTTTTTTCTGGAAGTCTAACAAGTGAATTATGAGAAATTGGAAGAAATACACCTACATTATGAAATTTTAAAAAATAAATACACCTTATATAAAGTAAGGGAGTACATGATAAAGAAATGAATACAATGGTGCTATTATAGTGGGTGAGGATCCCAAAAAGATTTGATGGGCAGGATTCCAGTGAGCATCGTCGCAGAGTGCTCCTGCACAATTTTGAGTAACATACACATTATCCGGCTATGTTACTAACTTCATAGTGGATAGTAACATAAGTGTGACATCATGCAAAACTTTATTTATTAGGTTATAGATTCATATGTACCGGGATATGTGATGTTACGGTAAGTAGCTAAATTACTCAATTTACCTCTCTCCACATTAACTGAATGTCAGATAGGCAATTTTGCTTAATTGAAGCTTATGTTACTCACGAATTTACTCCCGCTGTGGTCGGTTTGGAGTTAAAACATAGCCTAGAAGTACTACAAAAAACTTTAATCGTCGATCCTAAAAAAAGGAAACTTCCATCATTGACGGGCTACAGTTGAGATGTCATTGCTATTAAATATTATAATACACGCCTCGGAGAAACAAATAAATCATAGCGAGTTTGAATTCAAATGGATGGAAATTTCCTCCAAAAAAGATTGCAAATGAATCATTATAGAAGATGATGTGGCTAGCTCCCATCTAAATGAGAATTAACTAAGTCATCAAGGTGACATTAGCATCTTTATTACTATTTTCTTCTTTTTACCTTCTAATTTTTCATTTGTTTCTCAACAATTTTATTGTATTTAAAAAATTGTAAATATAGATGCCCGCAGCCAGTGGACATGGAGTTGTGCATGGGTGTGTGGGCATGCAAGAGCAATTGCACATGGATGACGAACATGCTTTTCTACATAGGTACGTGCAACTTAAATTGTGCGCGGCCGATAAACATACAGTTACACACGATATGCGGCGTGCAACTGTAGCTGCAAGCGGTCGGTGAACAACTTTTTCCTACGTAAGAAAGCACTTCATGAGAGAGGGTCGAGGCAGGGACTGAAACCTAGCCGCCACCTTGTATTCTTCCCCTCTCGTCGCTGCCAGGTGCCGCGCTGATGATAATGGGGAGGTTGCTGATCATGGGGGCGATGTGGAGGAGTCCGTGAGATGTTGTGGTTCCACAGCGGAGATGAATATTCGAGGCGCGGTCTTCGGCAGGCAATGGTCGACGGCGGTGCTGGTGTTCCAGTGTGATGATCTTCAATGGCCGCCCGGCCTAGCTAGGTCACCAAAAAAAAGGGTGTTGGTGCATGGTCCTGGGCAGTGGTGAGCTCGACGTCAGATCTGAATCTGGCATGCAGCGTCATGGGTGATTTGTCTCGGGTTTTCTTTAGGAAGTCTTCGTGTTTGGTTTGGACGCAAATTGTGGACAATGAACAAGTGTAGGAATAATGTCCTCCCACTTTTTCCGTTACGTTGGTGTGCTTATCGTTGGCGGTGGAGAGCTTGTGGAGCTGTTCTCCTAAGGGTTTCCCGGGATCTTGATCGTTTCGGGTTTCCGTGGATCCGGTTGAATCCAACCGGCTTTCCAAGTCAATGGAGTTTCTACAGGCCCTTTTCTGTGTTTTCTTCTTCAAGGCGGTGATTTGCTTTGCATATCGCAACCACCAATGTCTCTTGTCTGCATCGACGACTTCCCGGTTACTTCTTCTACAAGTTATTGGGCTTAAACTAGTTTTCTCCGCTGAGGCGTATGTCCGGCATCGAGCTACGCTCACGGCACGCTGCCAATGGATGCAGGAGAAAGAGGACTTCAACACCCTCAAGGATTTTAACATAATGTTATTTTTCTATAAGGATGTGTTTGGAAGGATCTATGATACTTTATATATGACCTTAGGCATTTTTACAAAAATATCTTTTCTCTATGTAATATAATCTCCTAAGTTAATATCATTTCTCGGTACTAATATTATTTTTCTAAAGTTATGAAGAGTGGAAGAAAAAAATGTTTTCCCGTCCTTGCTACCTGTCTCTCCTTTGTGGGGTTTAAATCTGTTATCTTCATTAAAGAAAAGATTAACACTGTCCCATTCTGCCTTTCTACATCCTCATAGCCTATGTATGAGTTTTATATTGTCTTCCTTAGTCTATCTTTTTTTTATTTCGCTTTCATATTACTTGTATGTTTCTTTATCTCTAGTTCGATCCTAAAACTATTTCAACCGGTTTGGATGGCGGTCATGTAATAGGATAGGCATGTAGTGCTCCTATTTTGTTTGTCTGCCGGTTGTGGCTTTTTGATTAGGCTCGTATGAGCGTTCTGTTTTCTTTTCGTACTTTGAGATACTGAAGACTTTGATACTAGTTTCGGTTTTAATAATATGAGCCGTATGCATCTTTTTGATGCAGAGGCTGGGGTAACCCCCTTTTCGAAAAAAAGTGCTATACCACCCCGATTTCATTTGACTTGCACGCATGGCGGCTTGATTACTGTCACATATAAAATATTTTACAATAAAAGCTTAGAGAAAAGGCAGACAAGCATAATTGGTCCTGAAAGTTTTAATTCAGCAGCAAATTCATAATGGGAATGTCTCTTAACAATAACAAATTTCCTTTGTAGCAACTTTATTGCGGCTAGCTATACATAACTTGAAAAGGACACATAATTATGCATAAAACAGTTTTTTCTCATCTTCCACCTTTCATGAAAGTAAGGCGGCTAGGGTTTTTGTGCAAGGGATGCCACAATTGTGGTTCTGTTCACCTTTGTGTGCCTTTTGATGCCGGCGAGGTGGGGGGAACCCCGGTTTTGGGTTGGTTGTGTGGTGTGTGTGTGTGTGTAGCTCTAGCTCAGGCTAGGATTCAATCTAGGTGTCTGGTCAGCCGTGGCGATGGGATGGCCTCATCGACGATGTAAAATAGTTTCTTATAGTCCTCATCAGTACGACAATGCTTATTAGCGTCGGCGGAGGGCATGTGGAGCTTTGGTGGATTTGATTTACCAAATCCATCATTATTGTATACTCTTTGATAGATATAGCGCAATCCAAATTAATCCCTAATCCTTTTTTTGCATGGCCCCTAATCCTTATTTTACAAGTTCTTAATATGTCCCTTTCTTATATTGAATGCAAATACCTAACTAAATACTAAGAAAATTCTTTGTTAACAGCAATCTATTCTTCATAATAGTATATATTTTGTATATTGAAGTCCTAGATAGGAAAGTAGAGTAGGCAGAGATCCTCCACAAAAGGCCCTCTTCGCAGCCTTGCTTGCTGGCAAAGCCACATGGTTGGTTTGCCTTCATACGCGGGAGAATGAGGGAGGGTCAGCTTTCTTTCGTGAGGTTTTGCGACACAACCAGATTTTCTTCACGCGCAAAGCTAAGCAAGGATGTGCCTGGAACAGGAACAAAGAATCCAGGGTTGGATCTTGGGCCTAGTTTTGTCTACGTCTCGTCTAGGTAGTTTTGGGATGCATTGTTGCGCGAAGTGGATTGCTGTGTTTTGTTGGTCTCCTTGGTTCTTCTCTGTTAGGCAATGCATGACCAACTTTGGCCTTGTCGTGAAGGCGGTAAGGTAAGGCCACCTCAATTCTGTCTGATCGGATCTAGGATGGTTTTCCATTACCCATTGTCGCCTTCTTCTTCGGGGAGACAATGTGATCCTGAATTAGTTGTCGTTGGCTTGTTCTGGCTCTGACGGGCGACTTTCGTCCTCTTGATCGATAATATTACCCTAACTCCCAAGGTGTTCCAAAGATTCATAGCCGTCATCGATCTTTACAAACTGTGCACCACTAGTAAGTGCAAGAGGAAGACAACCTCGACATACCCAAAGACTTGGATCTTATTTTCTATTTTGTAAGGGTTAGACAATTTAAAATATGGTCTTGGCATTCTCCATTTTTTTTAGAGGACATACAATGACGGGTCACACAAAGGTTCACCACAAGTACAAAGAAATTCGAACATAATAAAATTTACATTATTACTACCACCACCAGCACGAGCCACCGATGCCCCATTGTCGCCGCTCCCATACTGAAGCCAGCATGAACTTGTCGATGAAAGAAAATGAGTTTTCGTGCACGTGTCACTGGAAGCCGGCATGATACTTCCATTTATTTTCCCTCACAAAAATAGACACTTCATTTATTTTGTTTCACAGGCGTGGATTTGGTGATTCATGCCGCTGGACCATTCCAGAGGGATGACAAATGCACAGTCCTGCAGGCAGCAGTATTTACCAAGGTGGGTGGGGCCATGAAATATTTGATGCTGAACTGTACGTAAATATATAATAAAGTGGTATTCGATTATCTCAACTTTTCAAAACTAGTTCTATTTTTTCGACGCTTGCAGTATTTCTGTATATAAATCTGAGAAGGCCTAAGTTAATTTGCATGCTCAACTTTTGCCGACCAGACAGGGTACACTGATATCTGCCATGGAGTGGACTATTCATGGAGGGCAAAATCTTTCCATGAACAAGCAAAAGCTTCCGGCGTCCCAGCTCTCATAACTGCAGGGATATCTCCTGGAGTGAGCAATGGTCTTATTTCTTGCATTCACACATAATTTCTCCATCAATTTGTATCCAGAAAAATGCTTGCTACGTAGACTAATTCTAGGTGCATATTATAAGAATCTCAACTACATACAGTAGTTCATGTTTCATCTTTTTTTTTACAAATCATACACCACAACACCACATCTATGATAAAGCTTCATTTATGAACAACTAATGGTAATGCTCGGGTTAATCTAGGTAATGTAACAGATTGATGAGGAAATTGAGTATTCAATTTGTGAATAACCCCTGATGAGTACATATTCAGTTGACAAGATTTAAATTTAAATGCCTGAGAAAGCTCTGCAACTGCAGATGCAATTAGAATGGGAATATCGACGCTCGATTAGTAGGGCCTATGTTTCAACGAGGGGTGCAGGGCGGCGCCCGATCCGCCTCATATGCAAACTTGGGCGATTTAGTTATAAATGAATTGTGATGGGTTAGTTCAACTTGTACTTGCTACGATTCACTTGTGTGGGCCTATGCGGGACACCGTGTTGCATCCCTAGTTTGAACCCTTTGAATTTTCTTTTGAAAATTGCATTTCTTAGTTCATAACTCGATCATTTTGTATGATAGTGATGGCAGCTGAGCTTGTACGTACTGCAAAAGGCGAGAGTGGTGGTGAACCAGAAACACTGAGGTCAGGAAGATATGACAAACTTGGGAACTGCCAATGATGTGAAAACTCACTTTTGTTTCAAACCTAATGTGCAGTCTTGGTCAAGCCTATCTTACTAAATCCTCCTACAGATTCTTCTATTACATTGCAGGTACAGGTGGTGCAGGCCCAACTACGTTGGGCACAAGCTTGTTACTTCTTGGGGAGGATGTAATTGCCTATGATAAAGGTTCCCTTGCATTTGGACTTGCTGTCCTTTTTTCAATAATAGTCAGCGAATATATAGAAATGATCCTCGCCTTGCCTGATCTTTTTATGAACAAACCCAGGGAGCGAAATCAAACTAAAAGCCTACAGTGGAGCTCGCAACATTGATTTTGGAAAAGGGATTGGGAAGAAATATGTTTACTTGATGTAAGTCCTTGAATATATTGTTTCTATTTCATGAAACACAGATTATAATAAGTTATACCTATGAAATTTGATCAATGGAAGTTTATTTCATTAAAAATGTGGTGTGTGGTACCTCTACTATACCATGGCAAAACAAATTATATGTTCCTCTGCAACAAGCCATTATCATGGTTATTCCCCTCCCATAATTGAGAAAAATAAACCACTGTCATATTACTTGAACAAATGCAGGAACTTACCGGAGGTGAAGAGCACACACAAAAACTTAGGTCTGCCAACTGTTCATGCTCAATTTGGTTCAGATCCTTTCATCTGGAATTGGGGAATGGAAACGTTCGCAAACTTCTTGCCTTCTGTACGTGTTGTTTCTCAAATTAACTACTACCTCCGGCCTGGTTTATTAGTCCCCCTAGCACTTTGGGTCAAAGTTTGACCATAGATTTAACTGACAAGATATAATTTATATGTAAACAAAATATATCATTGAAAACTTCAGTCAAATACGAATCTACCCATATAATTTTTATGGCACATAACTTATATTTTGCCACTAATCAAATCTAAGGTCAAAGTTTAGCACAAAATAAGAAGGGTACTGATAAACCTGCATCTTAAAATTGTGTTACTGATACTTGTACCAACCAAAGGTTACAAGGTACGAGTACCAAGAAAAAGCTTCCTTCAGGAAAATGGAGATCGAAATTTGGCAACTTCATCTTATTAAATGAAATTGGTAGTAATAAATGTTTTGACTTGTTAAAAAGAATCATGTAGATAGAGGTGTTATAAGGACCAGCATCGAGCTTAATTTGAAACTAGGAAATTATTTGGCACCATGTAAGTTTGGAGTATAATCTTAAGCTAGAAAAACAAATTGTCTATATGCAGGACCTCTTGAGAGATAAAAATGTCACTCTAAAGTTTGCTGAGTGTGTTGACCCTTTCATTCGAGTTATTGATGGGATTGTAGGAGAGCGTGTCGCCATGAGAGTGAGTGCTTGCACACTTGTTGTTAAGTATTAAGTTTGTTGTGTCAATGCCCAGGACAGTGTATTAGAAATGTTGAATACCACTTAACCAACTTGGTTTTGTTTGGGCAGATTGATCTCGAAAGTTCAAATGGGCACACCACTACTGGATTATTTGCTCACAACAATCTATCCGTGTAAGCACAATTTTCTGGCACAATCCATCTTGGTAGACATAAACCTACTAAATTAGTTTCCCAATCTATGTTTTAAATCTACAAGTTCTAACATATAAAATACTCCGGATAACACAAACACGATGCATTTGATAAAGTTGAAGTATAGCCCCTGCTTGTGCCCAACATTGTTTTGCCCGTATCGTTACATTGAAGCTAAGCAGTTTAGATTGGACATTCAGATCAGTGGGCTATGCAGCGGCCGCATTTGCTCTAGCAGTTCTAGAAGGCAGCACAAAGCCAGGGGTTTGGTTTCCAGAAGAGGTGATGTAAAGTTAGAAACCAGAGAAAGAACCAAGAAACTAAAATTTCCTCAACCTTTCTGAAATTATCCCAATTCTTTGAAATGCAGCCAGAGGGAATAGCTATTGATGCAAGGAAGCTCTTGCTCCGACGGGCATCTCGAGGAGTAACGAACTTCACAATGAACAAGTGATCTACTATCTCAAATAATAGCAAACAAATAGCGAAATCAAGTATATTTTTATGTTAATAACAAGTATGGCACTTGAAAACAGGAATTCCGGGATGATAGAATGCTGATCATATGGAAATGAATCCCTGGGTCATAGAATGCTGATAATATGGTGATGATGGAAGTTATAGCTTCATCAAACTATTGTACTCTTCCCCTGTAATCCCCCCTCTCCCTCAATGTAACTCTGAACTATGTTCTGGGCTATTCGGTTGGTAATAAAGTTCAGGCAGGCGTAAGCCCGCCGTTGACGCGTAAAAGAAAAATGATGGAAGTTATGCCTGAGAACAAAATCTCCGCGAAGTGTACAGAAAATTCCTACTCAGTTCATGTGAAATCCTGCATGAATTATGGAGCTGTAAACAGGGAAGCACCTAGTCCCATATTTGGAGCAGGCTGGTTTAAGTTGGAGCCCGTTCAAGTTGGAGTATTATGTTTCTCTGTGATTTGATTATTGCAGGTTGTAAAAAACAGAATGATTCTGTGCTGATGTCCCCTGTAATAAAACCTGCTGAGGTAACTACACAAATCATATAGTATCAAGTTCATACATAGTAGATGGGCATGTAGATATTTACTTATCGTGTTGTTGTTGTTTTCTTTTGGGTCCCTGAAGGGAATGGGGTCAAACCTCAAACTTTTCTGTGGACTGCTGAGATCAAGATGTTTAAGTTACCGTAAACAGATTTGCATTCCTATAAAAGCTAGAAATAACTGATGCTACTTCCTTGCCATTTATGTTTAGCTACTTTACATCGCAAGACATATGTTGGCATGTGCAACAATGGTGATCCTTGTTTAGCAGCTCTTGTTCAGCAAAGACCTACAACTCTACAGTTCACATCACCATTGATGTCGCAGGGAACAGCTTGTCCAGTAGGGTATAAACACCTCCACCCAATAGAAATGCACCACTGCCAAGCAAATGTTAGTGCAATGCATTTCTACAAATAGAAAATACAATTTAAAAGGAATTCTTGGTATTTTTCTGAGGATATTTTCCTCGACGATAGGATCTTGGTTAGAACCTCTGTGAGGAATAGGAACGGCACCATTTTTGGTATAAGTAGAACAGTACTTTGGAAAAAGCAGTATTCTAGAGGAGAATAAAAGGGTAGGTTTGATGTATTATCTTTTCCCAAAAAGAAAGACAAAAGGTGTAACTGTGAGTCCTGAGCTGAGATAGTGAAATTGTATAAAATAAAATATGCTTGATATCTGTAAAATAAAGGTAGATTAAATGTTCGCCTCCAAAGAAAAAGGACTGGCGATTTCTTACATAGGGTAATTATCGTGTTTTTACTGGGTAATAAATATACAGTGTACATAGATAGTTAATGTAAATGCTTTAAATGTTCACCTCCAAAGAAAAAAGGGTAGCTATTTCTTACATATGTCAGTTATCATGTGTTGGTAATTGGCAATCAATATACAGTGTACATAAGTATTTAACTACATAGCTAGTCCAGGAATGGATTTAGTTAGTAATTTAGCATTGTGAAGTATATCCGCTGTATTTGTACAAGGAATTGGACACATATGGTTAGACTTGGCAATTTGATGCACAAAATTAAGTTCACCAATATGAGAGTTGATTTTAGAATCTTGACCAAAAAGTACATGATGCGAGTTGATGTAGAGTTAAATATTTACTCAACAGAAAAGAAAAACAAGACACTGTAAGAACTAAAAACTAAGAAGTAGATACCTGATGGGGTTTATCCATGTGGAATATCTTCTGAATGACAGCAAACTCTGTAGAAGGCAATTAACTAATCAGCCATCATAACTCAAAAGTAGAAAAAACATGTGTCGTTGATCTATTAGAATGATGATGTTCATGAAGTCCAAGAGCAACTAGAAGTTTCAGTTTTTGCTGGTACTGTCTTATCTGTACTTGATAATTTCTATATGTATACCTGCAATGCTCCAGCAAAAGAGGCTGCAATGAGAAGAGGTGCAACATAGCCAGTTGTATATGTCAACAACAAACTTCCCCCAACAATTGGATCCTGACAGGAGAACGTTGAAGTTGTAGTGACCAGACTTCATCATCATTTAAGAGAAGGAATAAGCTGGAGGAAGCCGATACTACATGTTCACTACTATGTCAACACTCAACAGATTAACCAAGCATATTAAAGTACGGTAACACAGATTGGAAAGGGAAGAGTTTAAACAAATGTGAATCACATGGCGAATTACTAACTTTACTAATTAAACTATTAAAGTCTATCACAAAAATTAAAATAGTTCTGCATTTGAGCTTTAAGCTACGTAATAAAGTACTGAGGCAACTTATATATCCTGTTATATGCATACCCTTGAAGTGGCAACATATCCCAGAAGGGTAGCAAGAACAGGTGTACTGCAAGGTGATGCTGCTAATGCAAATGTAAGGCCAGCAAGATATGCTTGTACACCTGATAACCAAATACAGTTAGGAAAAAGCAAGATATTACTGACTGATTAAAAGAAATATAATGACATATATAGGGAAGAAATAAAAAATAGTGTCAAGAAGCATCACTGGAAGGCAAGTTAGCTGCAGCAGCTCGAGGATCATAATCGCTGAAAAATGAGGGAAGTTGTAGCTCGACTACCTGTCGGATACAACATAATCAGAAAAGAAAATGGATTAGGGTAGTGTGCTTATACCTAATATTATTACAGAAGCAATAGCAGAAACTTAAATTTCAACGAAAGGAATTACCACTGTGAGTATGTTTTTACATTTATTTAAGGAAAAAAGAAACCACAATGAAATCAACTCCTAATCGATTTGGCTTTAAGACTGCATGGTAGAAAGATAAATTGATTAACATGCCCCAGTTTTTGAATTTTCCTTTTGGTTTGTGATTTACCTCAAGTAGGTTCAATCCCATGACGATTCCTAACCCAGAAGCAGCCACTGGGAGTCCTTGTCCTACTTGCCCATAAGCCTTTCCAGCAAAAGAAGCAGCAACACCAAGGATGGCTAAGGTTGTTGCCAGTCCTAATGAGAAAGCAACTGAATTTCCAACAACCTACTAGATAGAACAAAAACAACTCAATTTGTATCAGGTATGATACAGACTATCAATGAGCCAAACTAATCATGTAAGCGTCTTAGTACAGATTAGATGTTGCACGTACATATTCTGACAGATAACGATGTTGCACATACATATTCTGATAGATAACCATTACCAATTTCGTTTGGTTCTTTTATGGCACGCAAAACCTGAATATGCTTAGTTATCTTAAATTACCTCAGCTCGATCTTTTCCAGAGCCAAAAGCACCTGGAAGATTTTAAAAGATGTAATATATCGATGTCATTAGTGCTAACCAATTCTGGGTCAAAGAGATCATTTCAGAAAAGCCACTATACTTGCCTATATATCCTAGAGTCAATGGCAGAACACTGAGTGTACAGGGAGACAAACTAGTTACAAGTCCAGCACCAAAAATTACTGCCAAGCTGGAGAATAGAGAAAAAGGTCAGAAAGAAAAGAGGTATGGGTAGGAAGCAGAAAATTAAAGGATGCTGTGTCTACAGAAAATTAACTGCAGAGAAAGAAAGCTGACCTGGTGAAACTAAGAGCAGACAACTGATCCAGAACAGCCTCATTAGCTTGCTGCCCAGCTGAAAATAATAAACCTCCAAACCAATCTCCGATGCCTAAGTCAGCCAAGAGAAGTCCCGATGATCCTAGCTGAACAACAAGAAATGGTTTGGGGGGATCACTCCACGTAAAGAAGGATTTTACCTTTTAGGTTTGCCAAGGGATGCAACAAGCAAGAAACAAGAAACACAGATATAGGCATATAGCCTAGATAGTTTGGAAGCACTTTGCAATAGCGTACTGATTGATTTTGATGCATGGTGTGCTGATTGCAGCTGATGGAATTGGCTACGTGTTATACTACTAATCCAAATATCTTTGAAGATATTTATAGTCAAAGTTCGATTTAGCTAATGCCTAGAACTAACAGCTTCTATAGAACAGGAGGAAGCATCTAGGAACGATAAGAACAAAACAGATTTGAAGGCCCTCCATGTTGTCTCACCAGAGAATCTCCGAGGTCGGCAGCATTCGCAGCCCCAGCAGCAACCAGACTCCCCACTGAACGCAGAATTAAACAGCAGTGTTCTCAGAGCCATTTCATTGAAAACGTTGCCAGCAAGAGATATGAAAAAGAAGTAAACAAAAGGTGAGCTTCGAGTTAGTACCGGCCACAGATGACAGCACGATCAGGCGCGGGCGGAGGAGCGACCGCCTGGCTCTACGATTCTCTGCGAATGTTTTTCTCACGGGATTATTTATACGTAAAAACAGCAGATTGGGTGCTAATGGAAGCACGAACACGCGGTTAGCGCGGAGACACACCTGTAGCAGGTGAGGAGGATGGGGTCGAATTAGCAGCTCGTGCTGGGAGGTGCGGGCGGCGGGAGACCACGGGACGGGTGCTCATGGCGACGGAGAGCATGGCGGGAGGGCGGAGGTTGTCGAGCACAGGAGAGTGGAGAAGTGTTTTTCGGCTGCGTCGCCTGAGAATAAAGTGAGCGTGTGGACAAGAGAAGAGATAGAGCGTGTTGCGTGTCTGGTTCACGCTCTCGACTAGTGGGTCGTGGCTGGTGGAAAAACATTTCTCATGAATACGCTCAATATACATGATTTTTTTGAAATGTTTCCAAAATTAAAACAGACCCGTAAATGATGAACATAACGAAACATCGCCTGTGTAGAAGTTTTAATAGGGGATCTGTAGAGGTCAATTTATGATTTTATTTAGTCCCTCGCATCGGGTAAAAAAAAAGGTTTCCATGTTTCGTACGATGCTGAAGCAAAAAAATATTGACACAACTTTCTATGGGTTAGTTTTTGTAAATTATATAAAAATGATTAAATGTCTATTTGACTCTATACACGGCTATGTCTATTCTGGTACCATGGTAATTGTTATGACAACCACCGCTACGCCAGGTCAAGATTATATACATCATTCATCAGTCTAGCTTAGGCAGGGTCCATCAATGCAGTTTACTCAGCCAAAACTAATTCGTTGTGGCGCCTTTGAAAATCAAATCGTGGTCAAACCATCACTTTTTTTTTGAAATGACTTTTCAAAAATCTCTTATCTCATCATGACATCACTTAGACATAGTTTTTGAAATGACATTTTAAAAGCCCTTATCTCACTTTGGCATTTTAAAAGCCATTATCTACCACTCCTGCATAATTTGATAGTTTTTCTCCCGTTGCAACACACGGACATATTTGCTAGTAATAATAAAGCAAATTAGGTTTCTTTCGTCCGTCATGGCATTTTACACAAAAATCCCTATGTTTTGTTAAATAAACCCGCAGTCCGGATTTAAGTCACACCCGAACCGTTATTTTACATTTTTTGAAACCCCCCTGATGTTTTAGGTAATTCATCCGCGGATCATATTTAAGTCAAACAATGTTTTTTTAAATTATTCATATCTTTTAAACCGTAACTCTGATTTGAACATGTTATATATGAAATTTGATTAAAAAAATATGTAGAATATGAATATGAGATTATTTTCACCTGTTAAGTATTTTTAAATATTATTTTGGAATATATTTAAGTCAAATAAATGATTTTCTAAATTATCCGTATCTTTTAAATCGTAAATTCGATTTTAACATATTATATATGAAATTTTATTAGAAAAATATGTGGAATCTAAATATGATGTTAATTTTACCTTTTAAATATTTTTAAAATATCATTTTAGGAGCAAACTTATAATTTATAGCGTAAGATCCGTTTTCCTTTCGTACCGGCGGCAACCCGATTGCAAATAAACACCCCACTATAACAATATAGGGAAAAGAAAACATCGATAACTACACATGCATACCTCTGAGAAATGTCGCAGGGGAAAACAACATATTTCTGATCGCGAGAGTGAGAGAAAGCGAGAGAGAGAGAGGGGGAGGGAGAGGGAGAGAGAGACGCCTTAGGATTAAACATATTCAAACACGTTTTTTTTGTTTTGTGTGAACACCGAGGTCATCGCCGGCGAGTGTGAGAAGGAGGATAAGCGGCAACACAAATATGATGCCTCGCAAAAATAAAGGAGATGGACCTATTGTGGTCTTGGGTGATGGTTGTTGGGTTAATAGTGTGTGTTATGTTTTCTCTCTCGTTGCAACGCACGAGCTCTTTTGCTAGTAATCATAGAAGGAACAACAGGATAGAGAGTTACAACATTCTACACACACAAACCGGGCGTACGAAACATCACATAAACAGAAGACGACAATATTTAGAAAACAAGGCTTTGGTTAAGGCCTGGGTAAAGGCATTAATCCCGGTTCACTAACGAACCGGGACCAAAGGGGGCATCAGTCCCGGTTTGTGAGGCCAGGCGCCGGCCGGGCCTCGGGGCCATTGGTCCCGGTTTGAACCGGAACCAATGGGCCTCGCTCCTGACCCATCACATTTAGTCTCGGTTGGTGGTTTGAACCGGGACTAAAGGTTGTCATTTAGTCTTGATTTTAGCCGCAAACCGGGACTAAAGAGAGGCCTATATACCCCGTCCCTGCCCGAGAGCAGAGTCACTGCCCTATTTTTTTGGCTGGCCGTGGGGGAGGTTTGTGGTGCTATAGCTCACTCCTATGCACATGAGGTGTTCGATGAAATGCCCGAGCCACACTTAAGCTTTCTCCTCTCGAAGCTCCTTGTCCAATCTTCATTTTCCTCAAGATTTGTCTAGGTTTAGCGGTCCGTCCTGTCCCATCCCCGTTTGCACCGCCCTCGATCGCCCGCGCCGATCTCGTCGCCGGCACCACCGTGGTGAGCCTCTTGTTCTCATCTTCTTTCTAAAAAAATTCTTACTTGTACGATTTAGATAGATACTTGTGTAATTTTCTTACTTTTATTATTGTTTGTTATTATATAGTGCGATGGTTTTGGTATTCGCCTCCGTCGGCCCTTCGTCCTGTCTATAATTCGGATGTGGTATCTATTATCTTTTATAACTATTTGTTTCATTTAGTGTTTATGACAATTATGCCGGCCAACGTGACATAGATGTTTTTATCTAGGAGGTATGTGAACCGGAAATTCCAACCGACCCTATTGTCGAGAGGTTAAATTTACTTGAAAAAGAAAACAATTACTTGAAGAAACAATTGAAAAGAATTGAGGAGGAGGAGATGAGATTGGAGTTGCATGTTGCGGATGTCGTCGATGATCAAAAGATCAAGATGGATGCAATACGCCTGAAGATTAGAAAGATTAGAAAGTATGTCATTCATACTGAGGCTTGGTATCATTATGTCGTTGGATGAATTGTTACCTTAGTTGCGATTATGATCGCATTTGTTGTTGCATTGAAAATGTTTTACACAGTTTCAATGTATGGTTTAATTAGATGCTCTAGAGAGCTATATGCTGTTCAATAAGAACTATGTATGAACTTTTTTTTTCAGTAATAACATTTGGTCACTATTGTACTTTGGTTTTAATGTGATGATGAACTTCTATTAATTTGGTCACTTCTCTATTCATGATGTTCTGTAATGATTTTTGACACACTTAATTATATATAATGCACGCAGATAAACCGACAATGAATGTACGGTGACAGACGCACCTCCGAGTACATTAAGGTCGTGCATAATTTTCTCAAAGTGGCTGAGGCAAACAAGCAGAATGGTTTTATGTGTTGTCCATGCCCTAGATGTGAGAATATGAAGTCTTACTCTGACTCGAAAACCCTTCACATCCACCTGCTTGAGAAGGGTTTCATGTTATACTATAATGTTTGGACCAAGCACAAAGAAAGAGGGGTTATGATGAAAGACAATGAAGAAGAAGAGGATGATGACAACTATCTGCTCCCTGAATACGGTGATGCTGCAACGGGGGAAGCTGAAGATTAAGAGGAACCATACGATGTGCCCGATGATAAAATTCGCAGGGTCATTGTTGATGCAAAGAGACAATATCAAAGTGAAAAGGAGAAGTTGAAGTTCGATCGCATGTTAGAGGATCACAAAAAAGGGTTGTACCCCAACTGCGAAGATGGCAACACAAAGCTCGGTACCACACTGGAATTGCTGCAATGGAAGACATACAATGGTGTATCTGACAATGAATTTGAGAAGCTATTGAAAATATTGAAGAAGAAGTTTCCAAAGGATAACGAATTGCCCGACAGTACGTATGGAGCAAAGAAGGTTCTATGCCCTCTAGGATTGGAGGTGCAGAAGATACATGCATGACCTAATGACTGGATGCCCGGTATGCGGTGCATTGCGGTATAAGATCAGACGAGATGACCCTGGTGATGTTGACGGTGAGCGCCCCAAGAAGAGGATTCCTGCCAAGGTGATGCGGTATGCTCCTATAATACCATGGTTGAAATGTCTGTTCAGAAACAAAGAGCATGCCAAGTTGATGCGATGGCACAAAAAGGACCGTAAGAAAGACGGGAAGTTGAGAGCAACCGCTGACGGGTCGCAATGGAGAAAAATTGAGAGAACGTGGGGGGACTTTGCAGGTGACGCAAGGAACGTATGGTTTGGTTTAAGTGTGGATGTCATTAATCCTTTTGGGGAGCAGAGCAACAATCATAGCACCTGGCTCGTGACTCTATGTATATTTAACCTTCCTCCTTGGTTGTGCATGAAGCGGAAGTTCATTATGATGCGAGTGCTCATCCAAGGCTCTAAGCAACCCAGCAACGACATTGATGTGTACTTAAGGCCATTAGTTGAAGAACTTTTGCAACTATGGAATGGAAAAGGTGTACGTGTGTGGGATGAGCATGACCAGCAGGAATTTGCCCGACATGCATTGTTGTTTGTAACCATCAATGATTGGCCTGCTCTCAGTAACCTTTCAGGACGGACAAATAAGGGATACCACGCATGCACGCACTGTTTAGATGACACCGAAAGTATATATTTGGACAAATGCAGGAAGAATGTGTACCTGGGGCATCGTCGATTTCTTCCGACCAACCATCAATGTCGAAATAAAGGCAAGCATTTCAAAGGCGAGGCAGATCACCGGAAGAAGCCGACCGTCCGTACTGGTGATCAAATACTTGCTATGGTCAATGATTTACAAGTAATCTTTGTAAAGGGTCCCGGTGGACTATCTGTTCCGAATGACGCAGAGGGACGTGCACCCATGTGGAAGAAGAAATCTATATTTTGGGACCTACCCTATTGGAAAGACCTAGAGGTCCGCTCTGCAATCGACGTGATGCACGTGAGAAGAATCTTTGCGTGAACATGCTAGGCTTCTTGGGCGTGTATGGGAAGACAAAAGGTACACCGGAGGCACGGGAGGACCAGCAACGTGTGCACGAAAGCGACGGCATGCCTCCAAAGCATATGAAGGTCCTGCCAGCTACGCTCTTACCAAGAAGAGAAGGAAATCTTCTTTGAATGCCTGCTTAGTATGAAGGTCCTGTCTGGCTTCTCGTCGAATATAAAGGGAATAATAAATATGGCAGAGAAAAAGTTTTAGAACCTAAAGTCTCATGACTTCCACGTGATTATGATGCAACTGCTTCCGGTTGCATTGAGGGGGCTTCTACCGGAAAACGTTCGATTAGCCATTGTGAAGCTATGTGCATTCCTCAATGCAATCTCTCAGAAGGTGATCGATACAGAAATTCTACC